ATAGTCTTAATTAATCAATACTTGTAAAGTAATTTTAAAAAAAAAGTGTTACTCTTAATAATAATTGTATTCAAAACTTAGATTAATTGCTATTTAAATTAAAAAAAACACAGCACAGTGGGGTGGCGGCACAGTGGGGTAGTGGCATAGTTGGGTCCAGTATAGATGATATCTGACAGTGATTAAAATCACTATCATAAAAAACGCTTCGATGCAAATCTGTAGATAGTGTTTAAATAAAAAAAAAAATTTGTTAAAATAGCATATTTTTAATATGGTAGCCATTTGCGCATAGAAGATAGGTCGTCGGGACAAATTTTTTTTTTTCATTTTATGTTACATAAAATAAGCTTTAATTTGATATATGTTTAATAAAAATAATCTTAAAATGGTCATTATTTTAGAAAATATCTAGTGGTTGACTATTAATGATCATACTGTACAATTTAATATAAACTCAAGTTACAATATGGACGGCATCACTCCAAGCTGAATTGAATTTGAATTGATAACTGAATAATAAGTATGTCATATTATAAATACACAGTTACAGGTACATTCTCAGTGGTGTTGTTATTGATTTTATTTTTTAAATATTTCAAAGATAATATTCGCCCAAGGCAACTACTATCTACGATTTGTTCAATACGTGTACAGGAGTCGAAATGGGACGTCAACCTCGTCTCACGTTTGCGTGATCATTCCATTTTAGATACAATTTTACTGGTTATAATTAAACGATTATATATTCTGGATAATTATGTATCTTTAAGTGTTTGTTATTTTATCAAAGACGTTTTGTTTTGGCTTCAAAAGTCGTTTATATGAGTTTATTTTGTAAAAATAATAATTATCGATTATTGCATCTTTAAGCTTTGTCTATTGGTTGCAGCTATAAGATCTCGACGGGTTTTTTGTTAAGAATGCAGGTGTGTATAGTTGCATTTTAATCAGTATGTTTTATCATATTTTCGCATAATTCAAAATTCAACATATCCAAGTAAAATAACAGTTAAAACTCGCCTCGTCATAAACGTGCTGGACTTAATAATTATGTACAATGATCACGCACATAGATTAAACTCTATGCGCAGTACCTTAAAACGTTTAGACGTTAGTTGCTACAGCTTTGCTACTGCCCTGATGTCGGAAGCATTACATTTATTTTTCTCACTACACTCACTGTCAAAGCTGTCTAACTGTTATGTAATTCGATTCGTGAGTTCTCTAGCCTCAGAGCGAAACGCACTCGTTTTAATGGGATATTGGTGTTTTCTTTAAGTAGCCTGTAAAAAAAAAAACTGTGAACAACTTTTCAAAAACTTTTGGATACAAATTGTTGCGTCAAATAGTTTAACGAGAAACTTTTATTAGTTTATCGTGCGGTGGCCAAACGGACGAAGAATATTTTTTATACGCCCCTAATTTCGCATTGGTAATGGTCATTTTACTAACGATTATACAGGGAAATTGATTTTACGGTTTTTTCAGCTTTTGAACAATAACTATGGCGATTAATGATGTCGACGATGTGTAAATTTAACGAGGAATGAAAATATCTTATATTCATATTTCATTTGCTTCGGTCAGTTGTTCGAACCGAATAGTACTGAGATTGTCCAGAAATTCACTACCACACAAGTTTTTAGTTTATAATGGGGTAATATTTACACGTTTTACTGTATAAAAGTAGATATATATTCTGGCAACGATCTAACTCGTCAATATATTCGATCGAGGTACAAAAGATCAACCAGAGGAGTGCTAAGCGAGTTGACGTTTGTGGCAAAATCATGTTTTTGGACTTAAAAAATGTAGTAATATTTGTGATACTTTTATAAATTTTTTTAAATTATATCAATCAAAGTAAAATTTTTCGATAACTATATAATTAACTTATATGTTTTATATAAATAGCACAGTGGGATTTAAACAAAAACGATACAAGTGTGATTTACACTTATACATTGTAGTAAAACCTTAAGTTATGATGTCAATAAAAATTGTAAAAAAAATAACAATTAGAAATAATGTAAAATCTGTACGGAACCACTCACTATAAAAAGGGGGGGACCAAATTAAGAAAGGGAACTCACTGACGGATTTGCGTCGCCGTTAGTTTTTATATTTGTATGAGCGTTATTGAAATTGTGTATTAATTATTATACTATTTTGTGTGTGTCATATCATTATGATTGGATAACAATTATTTATAAACGTCATAAAGACCTTTTATTGTTATTCATTTACTAAATGTCTATTATTTTTATTATTGTGTGCGTAGCTAGAGTTAATGTCGAATTGCAGGTCCTTCAGTTAATGCCAATAGTTAGTGTGTGAACTGGCAAGTGAAAAGATAGTTGTGCCTATCAAAGGGTCACCCTTCAGTCTACTACTTTCGAACTAAACTGTGCTGATGGGTTTGTAGGCTACCCCTTTAGTGGCTCATTAATTTGAGAGCTTGGGCTGACCTGCATATTCCGGCAAGTATACTGGAGGAGAGCCAAAGAAACACAGTTAACATTAAAGAACAGAATTCGTTTCTTTTGTGTGAGTTTTGGTGTCTACGCTAGGCGAAGCCAACGTATAACAAAATTAATTTAATTATGGATGGTTTTTTTATATAATACTAGTTCTAGCTGACCAAAGATAAAAAACCCAGCAAAGGGGGGTCGCGGCACAGTGGTGACGTAGCATAGTTGGATTAAGTATAATAATATTAGTGATTAAAATCACTATAAAAAAAAAACGCTTCGATGCAAATCTTTAGATAGTGTTTAATTTTAAAAAACAGTTCTTACTTTTCAAACGACCTATATATTTCAGATAAATGGTTTAAACATTTTGATCTTTTTACATGTTTAAAAAATGTTTTGTTTTTCATTTATTGAGGATTATAATCATAATGTACTTTATGTTAATATATAAACATATTATTGCAATTAATTTAATTTAAATCCAATAGTCTTATCGCTAAGGAATTGAAAAAAAAAAAAAAAATATATATATATATATATATATCTTAAGATGTATTATAGGGCCGTAATATTTCTATATTATTTTCTAAATAGTAATTGAAAAATTATTTTAATTTTTTAATTGGTTTGCATTATCTATCCAAAAAAAAATTGCATGTACAATATGTGACTCAGTAGTCTCAGCGTCACTGATATATAATATTATTATATAAACATTTCAACCAAAAAACTTTATAAATATAACTTCCAAAGCCATACAGTACTTAAATATAATACATATAAAAAATTAGACAAAGGCTATTAGTCCTCAATAATGATTTCCTGAAACTAAATTTAAATAACAAATAGTTGATTGAAACATAAAATTAAATATGCACAGTCAGTTATTTGATCGGCTATATTAAATTTACGGAAAGTTAACGTCGATACAATATTGATGATGAAAACATTTGGCACTTAATTTATGTGTGCAAAAACTTTATACTATCAATCAAGTTGACAAAATCAATAACTCTTTATTAAGACTTTAACAACGATACTGAACTATAGAAAATCTATACAGATAAATTTTCTGACGTTTAAAGTTTTTATAATAATTAATGACCTAACATTACATTTAATAATCAATAATGGTTAATTTCTGTTAAAACATCAAATTCGTTTTAATAACTATACTATGTGCACGATGTTATACACATCGAATAATTCTTTTATAAAAGAATAATTTTAAGTTAAAAGGATTATACTTTTATAGTATTATACTTTGAAGAATTTGTTCAATCTACTGTAGGTTGAATAAATTCTTCAAAAGGCTAAATATAGTATATGACAAAAGAAGGTTAGAACTAAATTTGCGAAAAAAAAAACAAAAAATAGTAATAAACATAGGTAATAGAATGATCTTAAGGATTTACAACGCATTGTATTACTTTAATTTATCTCTGGTAACTATTTTCTTATTATTTTTATGACGTATAACCAATTTTTATTCATTAACTTATTTGTTATTTTACATGTCTAATAAGTATAAATAATTCTTTGTTCTGGTAATAAAAATTGCTACAAAAATTGGGGTTTTTCGTAATTAACAGCATTAACTTGGGTGATAATGGGCCAAAATAAGGTTCCTAGTTAACGTGCACTGTGTTTTGAGAGATAAGTAATTGTACATAGAATAAAACCAAAAAAAAAGAATTATATCTCTAGGGCAGATGATTCTTTGTTAATCAAGAAATGATGTTTGGAAACATCTTTATCATTTTTTTTATTTAGAATGTACGTTTAAAACAAGAAAAAAATTTTTTATGTATGATAAAGTGTTAAAATTGAACTTATAATAATGATTGCACTTGGGCAATTATACTGTCCAGGGACTTGGTTTCTCTTTAGAATTTTTAATATTTTTCCTTAAATATTTCGAATACTTTTTGTAGACTTTGTTATGACATTAATAATATATTGAAAATATTAAAAAGAAATAAGATAAAAAATAAATTTCCTCTTATTTTAAAAGTAAAAACAATTTTTTTTACATGTTTTAAAGTTTGTTCCAATTTTTAAACAGGTTGCAAAAGTAAATAAAAATATATTTTAGATTAAAATTGGGAACACCTATAATTGCACAGATGCCATCTTTTTTATTTCATGCTCATTGATTCATCAATTATCAAGTTGCCAAATATACACCAAATGTTTTGTGAATAGATGTGACGACATCTATTATAAATAAATTCTACTTATAATAGATGAAATATATTTTTCATTTTATCGACTTGTTATAATTTGAAATTTATTCTCAATAATATGATATCAATGTAATGAGTCTAGATAAAATTTGCTATGAATATTACAGTATTACCGATAGTTGCAATTATATAAATTTAAGGGTTACATTCCATTCTATCTATGGATATTTTAAAAGACTTAATAAAAAAAAAATTATAAAGTCTTATCTATAAATATTGTTACCATAGAGATATTTTTACAAATAAGAGGTATATGATGACATTAATAGGTCTTAAATTGATTTTCGTTAAATTTTTTTTTTATTTAATTTTAAATTATTATATGATAGACATCTTAAGTGCAGAATGTAAAAAAAAATATTATATGGTAGCGCAACAACTTTGTGTAATTTGATAAGGATTTGTCTTCTAAAAGTCGTTCCATAAAGTAATGTAATAATAAGATAGTTTTAGATTATAAAAATAATAGGTAATCTTTCATGTGCGAAGGCCAGTTAAAATGATACTCAAATTCAGTAAGGTCATCACTATGTTTTGCGTCGTCAATAATGAGATCAGTGTAAAGATCTGAAATGAGATGATGCACGTCATATTCGAAGTCATCTTCATCATTATCAATATTCATAGTTGAGTTTTCCGCACGAACCGTTGTTTCATTTTCCATGTTATATAATTGAGAATAATAATTGTTGTTACAAACGTATTCTGAAAAGAAATATTATAAAGTATGCATTACAATATTTCTTTAGGTAATTGAATAATATAAATATATATCTATAGAATGTCTAATCATACATTATCAATCCGATAATATTTAATCCACTGGATATATGTTGTTATATATATATTTTTAAGTAATTATTTTTGGTGCTTAATAATTTAATTATATCATGAAAATTTTTTCTTAATTAAAAAAAAAAAATAAAGTTCCTATTAATTAAAAATGATGGGGATGTAAAAAAATAAAAATAAACATTTGATAGAATAGGCTATAAGTATTAATTTTATTACAAGATTTCTTCTTTATGTTTTGTGATTTAATTTCTAAAGAATTTGAAATTTGAATTATTTTGAGTTTATTTACAGTATCAAATGTTTGTTTTTTTAGGTTCATTAAAAATGTATAGAAGTATTGGTTATAGTTATGGTTTTTTCCCAATATAATCAATATCCAACTCAACCATAAAAAAAAATTTTAATTTAAAATTCTTTAGAAATTAAACCACAAAATATAGTATGCGGTATACCTCTCCGAGCTACCTACTCGCTAGATGTATTAAAATGTTTGTATTAACAAAAAAAGTTGTTATAGACCTATGAAAATTTGTTGTATTAATAGTAATTTTGAAATTTCGAAAAAGATATAATTTTATTTATATAAGTGTATATTTACAACTATAACTTTTGATACAATCAACATTTCGTTGTAATTTTGTTTAAATAAAATATATTTATATAAAATATATTTATATAAAATATATTTATATATTATAAATATTTGTTTCATTCATAGACTACGTTAAACTAATATTTTTTATCATGTAATTTAATAATAACAAAAAATATTTTTTTTTCTTTAATTTTCAAAATGATCAATTTTTAAGCATTTTTTTAACAGGAAACGTTGATAAGTCAATAAAAAATCTAGGACCAGTAATAATATTACTAAAATTTTAATACATAAGTGAGTATTAAGTGGTTATTGATAACGTATACTTCACTCACATTACATATCCATTCTATATATTAAAATACATTTAACTCAATAATTACTTATCTTAAAGTTGTTATCGATCCATAAAATGTTTTTTTTTGGAAAGTGGTTAAAATTGGCTAATTCAAAATTTGAAAAAATTTATGATTTAAAATTTTATTATTATTATTATTAAAAACAAATAATATAAAAATATGATATTTACATAGTCTAAAATTCAATAAATTACTAAAAAAAATTAACGAATATTAATTGTATCAAAAATTTTAATATTGTCAGATCTGTTTTATACTGTGTATGTTAGAATGGATAAAAAAAAGTAATGACGTGTTTTTAGTATTTTGACCGAAAATATCCCAAAAAACGGCCTTTGTTATTCTATTTTTGGTCAAATGTTATGATTAGTATATAAAAATAGCTTTTATCGCTACCTCACTTACTTTCTTATTAATATTATTATATTGCTTTAGTTCTCGTAGTAGTTTAAGGTCATTATTTTGTTGGATATGAACTTTTGTACCAATATCTTGTATAAATTTTTAAAACAAATGAAATAAATACCGAATACTTTTTAATTCAGAAACTGTTAACTGTTGCGTACGAAACATATAAATTTTAAGAAAATATATTATTTTTGCCATTCATGTTGATCTATGAATTGCTCCTGGTGGATGGATTATAATTTTTTTTTTGTACGGTTTTCTAATGAATAACAAACAAATTTAGCTGATCAAAACTGATAGATGTTAAATTGACATTAGATTAAATTCGATAACATTATTATACATTTTTCAAAATTACAGATAGCACAATCTCTAGTATAATTAGGTATGCATAAAGTGAAATAATTACGGTACTCGAATAAATATGAATCTATAACGAACGAGTTATCAAAGAAACCCAAAATTAATTTTTTCTTTTTAATAACTTTAATTAAATTTATATTGATGTATAATTTTATCATAACATAAAACTGTATTCTTATATTATTTATTACATTTAATAAAAATGAATATTAATTTAATAAAAAAAAAATATTTGAAAAGTATGTAAAGACAATCGTTAGTTATTCATATTTTCAAGAATAATCGTATATTTTAGCTTATGCATTAATTATAAAATATATGTTTTTAAGATTAGTGAAGAATTTTTTTTACTTATAGTATACATAAATATTAGCCAAAATGCATAAAAAAATTTTTTTTTAATAGTTTTAAGATTACTTGAGACCTACTAGAAATATACCATATAATAACATTAATTATGATATCCACGCTATCAATTTTTGACTTATTATTTTGAAGCTAAAAAATTTGTATTCTACAGTAATAATAAAACTATTTTGATATACTAATCATAACATTAGACCAAAAATAGAATAACAAATGCCGTTTTTTGGGATATTTTCGGTAAAAATACTAAAAACACGTTGAGCCACCAGTAAAAATTTTTTTTAAAATCTTAAATATTTACAATATGCCTATTTTAATGTATACAATAAAGTTATAATAGTTCTCATAAAAATTTCGAAGATCGACTTTTTTTGATCCACTGTTTTTTTAAAAATATACACTGTATATTTTTAAAATACTGTTAACTAAATTAATTTTTACTTTACTCATATGAATAATACCCTTATTTTGATCATCACACAAGTTATATTTTCTTGAGGTTTTTTTGTATTCACTATAAAGAGTATTATGAGCGTTTTCAAAATATATGGCATATTTTTCCAATTCCGTTATGTAAGCAGTAACTTGATTGCACACTTTTACTGTGTATTGGAATATGTCATCAGGTATATTATTTGTACATGGTCTTTGAGACATAATTTCATTCGAATATTCCAATTTATTACGTTTTAAATATCCGGCAATTTGTTTTGTTATTCTACTTAAAGATTCATGCTTTTTGATTTCATTGTTATGATTAAATAGCTCAAAAATTTCTTTTATTTCACAAAACAATTTTTCAACTAATGTTGCTTGTTTTTCTCTAAAAATATGTATCTTATTAAAACGTTCTAAATTAAAAATAATAACTTTACCAATTGTAATTAATTCGTCTAAAAATTTCCCTTGTAACTTTGTACAGTTATCGTGCAATAGATTATTGATGAATACTAAATAGTTCCGTATTAATTTGGCCAAAGGTTGAAAAGATGCTGCTGTTATCAGTAGATGAAATTTGAAAACTTGGTATGAATCGAAACAATAGGTCATATATCTGAATACGTCTGAAATTGCCAAAAAATTCTTATCTGGGCATTGGACTTTATATGTTGCAAATCTTAATTGATCTATAGCATCCTCATATTCAATTACACCAAGGTGATTTTTTTTTTCACCCATATTCATCTGACGTGTCATTAAATCGTAAAAAAGTAATTTTTTTGGATCAAAATCCAAGTAGGTATTTGATGAAAGCGCAGAAGCTAATATATTGTAAGTCTCACTATTTTGTAACCATGGGTCATAAATATTTCTCTTTGAATTCTCATTTGAAGAGTCTAAACGATTCTTGAGCTTTTTTGCTACTTCTTTTAAGGATTTCATATTGAAATTCCCTGATGTGTTATAATTAGGGCATCTTACAAAAACTTCATCGACTTGTAGTTTTATACATTTAGCTCTAATATAACTATTAAGACGTTCAACCATCATTTCATGTATCATTCGATATCCTATAAGAATGCTTAAAGGATTCCTATCAAAATTACCATTATTATTCTTTGCAATAAAATTCAACGACCCTGATATATTGTTTAAATATAAATTTATCGACATCAAATCAGTAGCCATTGTTTTAATGTTTATTGAACGTAAAACATCTAACATTGCCATAACAATTTTTCCATGTGTTTTTAATGCTTCTCCATAAATATTCAGATTTTCATAGCTAACAGGTGAAATAGAATTTTTATTTTCGAGTTGATTCAAATATAATGAATTATGTTTGAAAAAATTCAGCATGTAACAAGAAAAGTTACAATGTAATTGTACGTAGGTTAAAGCCAAAAATAATTTTGGTAAGTTAAACAAAATTATAAATTTAGAAGATAAATTCATTGTAACTTTATGAAATTTATGGAAAAGACTAGTTGAAATGAAACATTAAAACTAAAATTTCAGTTTATAACGAAAATTTAGATTATTGTTCTGACATATTTATTTTAATTTTAAAATTATTAATATTCTACATATGGTATACAATTTTTAAATTGTATTAATATGTTAAGATTTATTAATAATAAATATTATTAATATATATATATTTTTCATCATTAAAATGCCAATATTTTATGCAATTAAATAAACAAAATTAAAACGAATAAAAAATAAATGGTTAAATTATTATTATTTAATATATCTCTTAGGTTTTTTAAGGTATTTATTTAAATCAATGCTTTTATTAAGTTAACTTGAGTAAAAAAATTATTTAGGACAGTGTAACTAAAAATTTTAAGTTTTTACGCCTCTTTTTGAGTCACGCAAGTCATGCTTCAAGGTTAAAAATGTACCAATAATTTGGTACTAATTAATTGAACATTTTCTTACTTGAATTAATCTAGTATTGCTTCTTAGAGCATTAAATTAAATATTTTAGCTAATAAATCACTTCAAATACATTCTTGTAATTATGTAGAATAATCCGAAGTTAATATTCAAATAAACAGTGTTGTAAATAAAACTAATATACATGTATCAGAAATTGAACAAATTTGAATAGATATTGTAAAACATATCATTTTAAATGAGATAAACACAAGAAGCTAAACCTCCAATTTCATCAAAATCTATCCAAAATATCTACCAATATATTTATGCGCTACATGTCATTATTGCAAGTATATGAATTAAAGTTAAAATTCTATATAAAAGATTATGTTGAACATTTAAAGATATTTTGCATGACTGCATTAATAAAATAAAAAATCTATTGATATAATGAGAAATAAATAAAATAGTTTAATATTAGAGTATAATTGGGAATTAAGTAAAGATTGATATAAATATTTATACATCATCTCATATTTGCACCGAATATAAACAATACCACTGTATTCATTACTATGAAGAGCAATCAATGTTTTCTCATGATCAACCAATGATATATAAAACTCAATTACACGTAATACACAAAACAATATGAAACAGACTTGATACGCGAACCGCCAAAGGCCGCTGGTCAAAGACGCGCTAAAATATCTGTATTCGCACTGGTCACATATCAAAACAATTCAAAAGTTACTCGTTACTTGACAACACAAGCTAATGAAACAATATAATAAGTAAGCTGGACCAATTCACTTGAGGTTCAGACGCGAACACGATTAAGATATCGGCACTCGCCCTCACCTACTCGGTAGCCGAGTACTGTGCTCCAGTATGGTTTAACAGCTCTCATACAAGTAAAATAGACACCCAATTAAACGCAACGATGAGGATAATTTTCGAAACAATTAAGTCAACGCCAGCCGCTTGGCTACCAGTATTGAGCAATATAGTGACACCTCACCTTCGGAGATACAATTCCCTAGTTCGAGAACATAACGATCATGCCTTAAATCTAAGCCTACACATACATAAGTATATAAATAACAATCCCAGCCAACGATTAAAATCTCGTAAGCCTCATTGGATAGCACAAAAACTAATTAACGAAAACTATAACCTTAACTCTAAATGGAGACTGAATAATCCTGACAAATTTAACATCATTGAACAACCTACAGAATGGGTTCCGGTATTCAAATTACCCCGAAAGGAATGGGTGATCCTAAATAGACTTAGGACTGGTCACGGAAAAACCGGAGAAATGCTCTATAAATGGGGACTTAGAGATACACCACAATGCGACTGCGGATATGACACCTAGACAGCCAACCACATCGTGGAAGAATGCCCAATATGCAACATACTAGGTGGAATGGAACATCTTCATAAGGCCACGCAGCAGCAACAAACTGGCTGATCAACTTGGACATGGAAATTTAGGACAATATGTAAACACTATCCCGACTCATATTTTACCTACTCATATCTATGTGACTATTTATTACTTCATGAGTTCCTACTATCTATATTTATTTATCTGTTTGTAGTTGTTATCACAATATCTATTCATGTTGTTAGCGTTAGATATAAACCATACGAAATATATATAACACAAGCTATCACGGAACCATGACACATATTTAAGGGATGTTATTATTGCTGTGATCTCATAAAATACACACGGCCACATATTTCTTATGTCTAATGGTTACAAGAACAAAAACAAATGGCACAAAATTACCTCTGAGTACTACCTAAACAGCAACTGTATATTGATATTGACACTCATGCCGCAAAAAAGAATCACCTAGTAATGCTTTAATTAAAACTTGAATACTTATTTACTTACTTAAATACTAATATTTACCGATAACAGTTATCGGTTTATTGTGGTAACACACTTAATTAGAATAACGTAGATAAGCTTGGTGAGATTATTTATTAATGATGATTTGGCGTATAGAATTCAAAAGGTATTAGTTATAATGGAAATGGTTCATTTATAACCAAAAAAAATCCTTTTAACAATTATGACATCATGACAGTTACAATGTTAACCTGAGATTGAAATTGTACATTTATTTTCACGTTATATATATTGTTAAAATGTGATTACTTAAAATACAAATAACAAAAGAAAGAATATTATGCACGACTTTAACATTAAATACATTTTTACCCCAATGTTGTGCATAAAAATATACCTAGTTGTTTATTGTTATGTCATTAATGGCTTCTTAATAATACAAAAAGTATGTTTTTTTCATAAAAAGAAAAACCAGTACTCCTGTTCAATTGTTATGAAAAAGTTGATTACTAAATCACATCTAAAAGATTACAACTATAATTTTTTTCTACAAGTCAACTTAGTATTCCGCAACCCTCTATTTTTAACAAACTATTATTTTACATAGTCGCAGATCTAGAAAATTTTATTAAAGGAGTGGGGATGGGCGTTTTAATATATCATATAATTCAATGTCCTTTTTTTTTTTTTGCTTATAAATATTAAATTATTTGTGAGAAAGAGAGTCATAATTTAGTTTTGTTAATTTGCTAATATTATGCGTATAAAAACAATTTCACTTTAAAATATAAAATATATATATGTTGTTTATTTATAGCTTTTTCAACTCTTATTGGATCGATTAATTTCAAAAGATCAAAAATTGAAAATTTTTCCCTCATTTCCTACAAATGGGGGAATTCTACAAAGAAATTGTAATTTTGACATTTTTTAGATTTTTTTTTTTAACTATCATACATTTTTGAAAAATGTACGAATTAAAACAATCTTATTTTTATATATACCTTAAGTATTTCCCTATTTTTTGGAATAAATTTTTCAAGTAAGTTTTTTTCTTTGTATTCTCATTAAATACTTCTCTGGGTAATCATTATTCAACGATACGTTAAAATATCAAAAATACAATTATACTATTTAGAAGTAAATATATTTTTTTCACTATTTTTAGCTTTTATATAGTTTACAATGTTAGTTTAGTAAAAAAAATATCCACAGGTGAAACAACCTATGTCACCTTTGCGTCATATTATTAGAACTACACTTTAAACTTAATCTCGCGCCTGTATCATTACAGAGTTGACGTCAGGAAATTACAAAAATGACTAAGTGTATGAAGTCATCATATTTTGACATGTTTGGAATATATTCAGCCGAACGTCTGATAACTACTCAATATTTACAAAATTTAGGAAAAAACTTCTTGATATAATTTAATTATTTTATCGTTAACATAATCGATAATTAATGGAGAACCATTTAAATTATACTCGGAGACAATTATCAAAATATATTTAAATTAAAAATAATACTATTATTCTATCGGTTGTAAAAGTGATGAAATAAATGACTTTAAATTATGCGATTAATAAGATAATGAACAGTCGTAATAAATAAGTTATCAGCGAGAAATAATTTTCCATCGACATGTACACTAAACAAAGTACTACGAACTATCATTAAAATGTACAAACATACATTTAATATAATTTATTGAGTGATTTGTACAGAAATAAATAAAATATATAAAATTTTACGACAGTAAATATGTTTATATTTGTGAGTTGATATAAGGATATCAATGTTTATGACGTTTATGATTTACTTGAATGTTAATTGTCTAAAACGTTAAATGAAATAAATATGAATTATAGTTTCAGTAAAGAGGCGTATAATATACGCCATTAGTGATTTTATTTTAATTCGAAAATACTCTGAAAAATTTAGACTCAAATCAACTATTTTAATAATTCATAGCGAAATTATGTGAAGAAATTCCACACATAAATTCGTGAATTATAATCAGTAAAAAAAAAACTATCAGAGATACATAAAATGATATATAATTCTAGAGAAAATTATAGATTAAGTCTTATTTTTAAAAATTTTCTTAAAAGTTTTTAAAATTTTCCGGAAATTGAATTTTGTGATCATTTTTAATAATCTTATACAGCGAATATTTTGCGTTATTTTTTTTTTAATAATTTATGTATTATTAGACTCATAGGCGGACATTTAGTTATATTTTGAGGGGGGCTAACATTTTTTACACAAAGTGACCCGCAGGGGCTTCGCCCCCGCACCCCCAATTAAATAACATAATAATAATGAATAAAAAGTAAATAATTAACATATTATACAATTAAAAATTATATATTAAATACTACTTCAATAATAAATATCTATTTTCATTCGCGAATAAATTTAAAATTTCCTCCACATTAATGTTTTTAGAAATATCTTTTTCAATATATAAAATTGATACATTTGTAAATTTATCTTGCGTCATTGAATTTCTAAGCCAAGTTTTAATTTTTTTCATAGCTGAAAAGCTTCTTTCGCATGTAGCTGAACTTATAGGTAAAGTTAAGGCTACATTAAATAATTTGTACAAATTCGGGAACGTTGATTTGTTTTCAAATAATATAGGTATAATATTCTCGACATTCATATCCGCATCAGGACCAATGGATTGTAAAATAACATTTTTAGCAACTGTCATCTCACAATTAAGACATTCTTTAGATACATCCATTGAAGACTAAATGGGAGTATTAAATAGGTAATAATTAACTATAAACAGACAAAGTATTAGATATTTAAACTAATAAGAGTAACTTACATGATAATGATCAATAAAATGATAACTTTCCTTGAAGTTTAAATTAAGAAAAAAATCAACTGATGAAGCCATAGTTAAACTTTCTTGCGAAAACCTTTTCTTTAAATTTTCAACTATAGCATCTATAATTGGAAAAAAAGCTGAAGTTCTAAAATGATCTTCGACACTAATTTTTTTTATATTTTCATTGGATTTATATTGATCACTAGTAGGAGTAGAGACAACAAAATTTTTCAAAGAATTGGGTTGCAATCTTTTTCTTTTTGAATCTAAATTATGACAATAAAAATAAATAAATATAGAAATTAAATAAACATTATCTGTTTATATCATCTCTTTATATTATCTACCTTGAGATGAAATTTCAATATCTAAATTATGTTCATTCATAAATAGTAATATTTCATTCCAAATTTCAGTAAAACATGGTGAAGTTCTCAAAAAGTACTAAACACAATATCATTATTAAACAAATATTACTAGTAAACTACTATTAAATTTAACAGATAGTAAAATGTAACCACAATTCCACATCAGACATATTTTTATAAAAAAAAAACAATAAAATTTAATATTTTGTAAACAGAATTGTGGATAATTTAGAAAGATTTTTTAAGGGGGCTTCTAAAATTTCAGGGGGGGCTAAGCCCCCCTAAGCCCCCCCAATGTCCGCCTATGATTAGACTACTGTAAATTTTATTTTTTATTAAAGACAAATAATGAAATATATAATTTTAATATATTCCAAAACTGTAAAAATGATTTTATATTAAAGTAACTAGAATTATTTCCTAGGTCAAAAGTTTTTTGTTAAAAAATTGTGAACCCTCCTTAATGTTGTCAAAATGGGTTTTCCAGATTTATGTGAAAAACTTGTAGTGACTTCTATAAATTTTTTCACATAAAGTAAAAAATAAAAACAATTATGCAGTAAAAAAATATTTTAAGCAATAAATGAGTTATGTTTTATATTGAAATATACTGTATCAGGTATTTAAATAAGTATTTGTAGTATTATTAATGTTCAAAAAATATCTACAAGAGTTGAAATAGCTATTTAAATCATAGCTGTGACCTTATCGTTGCTTCTTGAGATAGCTATCCTGAGTAGCTTTTTATAAAGACATACCATTGCTAGTTATAGAGAATATAATACATTTTAGTATTGGCAATGATAAATAAACAAATCAAAATTTGTTAGAACTATCCTTATTTAACTTGATAGTAAATATTTATATGCTTCGTATGAAAGTTAAAATACTATTAAATGTCATTGTTTGAGTATGTTAATTTCAAAATAAAATTTTTACGACTTGTTATTAATACTAAACGAAGTTAAGATGTTAAGATGGAAATTGACGATAAAATCGTCAATTTATCGAGATTTCAATAACAGGTTAAAATTTCTTGAAACGTGTAAGTATAACAAAGTGTGTAATTGACATTTCTCGGTAAATGTCGTTGAAGACCGTGTTCAGATGAAAACTATAAAATGAAATTATACTGAAAATTAAATTGAAAACCATTTAATGATTTTGACACGGCACATTTTATTCTTAATAGTAAATAAAATAATTCATCCATATCAAATGGTTTAAACTACAACCTGATTGTACCAAAATTGAAATAATTATAAATTGTGTTTTTAACACGGTGTTATGTTTTAAGACGTGAGTTAGATAATAAAATTAGATCAAGTATAATTTTCATAGAAATATTTTAAATTGCTAAAATGATTATCTATTTATATAGTACTGAATACAAGTACAACCGAAAACTCAATTTTATTTATTAGTAATAACGTTGTAGATTTTTAAACGCGGCGAAAATTTATCGAAATGGTTCTAACTTACAGTGTACAATGTAGTCGCATAAGCATTTATTACAACTATAGAATATAATATAAGAGAATATGATATAAAATAGGCTAATATTTAGCAAATACCATACTCAACTAGCTAGTAACACTAACTTTCCTCGTATACTACACGTACGTTTTTTATTAACAATAAGTGTACCTATTTTTCTAAGTTTTTAAAAGTATCAATTAGTTATTTTTTAAACTATTTTTTTTGTCGTATTAGTAATTAATATAACAGATTAATTTTTAATAGATAATTTTCTAGTTTATAAGTTGGTTAAACATATGTATATTTTAAAGAACCGAAGTTGTTAAAATTTTAAGGATTATCGAATTAATTATCGAACGAGCTTACTATTACTTCTGAAAAGAAAAAATTGTGTGTTTCTTCTATTGTTTTTAAAGATTTAACGAGATCTTTAGTTAAACAATTACTCTGTATGTATACTAATATATATCAATTATTACAACATAATATTATTAATTAATTTAATTTTTAAGAAGTTTAATTACATATATTTATTTATGAAATGATTTAATTTGTTATCAAAAAGTTTTGCTGTGTTCAGACAAAAAGTAAATAAAAATGATTGATTTTAAACAAAACTCATATTAGTTCACATTTGTGTGTATTTCATTAAATTTGATTTCGAGTAAATGCCACGAAACAGTTATTACACTTAGAAAGTTTTTTACCTGTATGTGTTTTTAAATGATTTGTTAAATTATTTTTTCGAGAAAATGATTTTAAACAAATGTCACATTTGTAAGATTTTTCTCCGGTGTGAATTCTGGTATGTTTTTATCAAAAATCATTTTTGACAAAATGATTTCAGACAAATCTTACATACTAACCTACCTAATTAAATCACCATCAGAGCACGATTTTTGAATACCAAATTTTAATTCAAATGATTTTTTCAGCTTTAGAGACTTATTGAAGTATCTTCAATCACTTAAATAACTTCAGTCGTCTCTGATCAAGTTCAGCTAACACTGAGAGATATTTAGACGGTGGCCAGCACCAGAATGCGTCAAGTGATCTAATAAATGACACCAATATGAAATAATAGGTTCAAAATAAGTATAGGAAAGTATTTCATTAAATGAAGACCCGTTAGAGCATAAGAAATGCTGAGATTCAATATTAATATTAATAATTATATTTTTAAATATTTCTATTGGACTTTATTAAAAGTAGTAAACAATATACAATAAATTTTGTTAACGTATACGTCTATTTGGTGAGTATAATGTTAGTCCAAGATGAATGTTACATGAATCCATGCAACACTGATACGTCACTTGCCAGTATCATGTATATATAGTTTTACAAACAGGAATAGTAAGGCAAGCGAAGTAGTTATGTATATTTAACAATTATAATATAGTATTTTTTGCACGCTCGTATTTTAAATGTATGTAATTATAAAAATACTCATATTAATAATTTGAAGTGCCATGGGCTATACGACCGACATCACTGGTATAAATTAGTAATTGACTTTTTCTTTTTAATACACGAGGTATAAATATTACCGCATTAACGCCATAAAAAAGCAAAACATTTATCAGTAAAACATTAAATGAATATTTTGAATAGAATCATACTAAATATACGAATCCATTAAAAGTAAAGTATCCATTTTAAAATACCACTGGGAATACATTTTTGACAACTAGAATTGATAATTATGAAGGACATTTTTTAATTGATCGAGTATCGTGTTTTTATGAAAAATTAATTCTAGCTACGATTAAAAGTATACTTAATTTTTTTAACATTAGGAAGGCCAACATGGGTGGTTTGTAACGACAAGGAAATATAAGTATTGAAAAAACCGCCAGGAAATGCAATCTATAAGAAGAACTCGACACTGACAAAGAGGTGGTCGATGTATCACGTAACAAAATCTCTAGTTAAGACAATTTTTCATCAGCCAATAAAATTGTTTGTATACTCAATGGGACTAGGAATCAATGAAACAAATTTCATGGTTAGTCGATTTGACAAAGGGGAAACCGTGACAGATGACTTTTCTAGGGAATAGCACGACTCGACTGTTAGAACACTCGGACCTTTCACTCCAAATAGGAAGATGCAATTTCGAAATCATCCTCCGGAGAAGCCAAGAGATCAAAGCTCGTTTTGCGATACTGCCTGCTCGTTATATTTACAATCGCGGTTTACATTGTATTGATATACACATTCGTATCAGATTCGAACAACGTAATCAGACAGTCTTTTTCATGTCCACTAAAGTTTGTTGTAGTGCACGTTAATAGGCTCTATTGGAGCGTTAAAGAATTCCATTAAAATGAAATTTAAATAGTATTTACCGTTCAATCAAAACAATAATGAAATATTTTTATACTTAAATAGTCTATTTTTTCTTTTTTTAAGTTCATATTAAATTAATATGATAATTTAACCTATACAAATTGTATAAAAATTACAATCAACAAAACAATAAATTAAAAATCGTTCAACATATAAATGATAATTCAATTTCAGTTTAACTTTATTTAAAATAATTCATACAATTAACGGATATTAATTCAGAATTTAAATTTTTGTCTCGTTCATTCTACGAACTTAATAAATTCAAATTTTTTGATTCAATGCGAAATTAAAAGAGCATTAATTTTACTATGACGTATGCTTTTTTTAAGTTCTTTGTTACTTTTTCTCAGTTTTTACTAGACTTTTTTTATGTAATATAATGAAAAAAGTTTTAATTTCGAATAAAAACCAACGTAGTTCTAAAAGAGTATATATTATATTTATTTTGAAATAAAAAATGAGGTTTATAAATTATTTTATTTAATTTGTATAAATAATCAAATAGTCGTTACACTGATAATTTTGTATTTGTTTTATTTATTGAAAAATATTATTTTTTGAGAAAATTAATCCCTAAGTAGCGTTTTTTTTACTCGACATAATTACATATTTTGATAATGAATTACAAAATTACTAATTTCAATCAACTTTGTGATTATTTTGTTAAGTAAAGTGAAATACTTGGTTAAACAGTCATTTATTTATTTATTTATTTTCTCGTTATAACTTACTAACTTCACCCTTACTCCATCAATCGGGTTAAGGTACGATATTATTTTTCATTTTGTTTCAGTTCATTACTTATTAAATGGAGTTCTAATCTCGCTATTAATGCCTAATTTGTTTTTTTAATATTTTGTTTAGCTTAAAATATTTATATATTGTTTATAACTATCATATATTACTAGTTATATGCAAGAAAATGTGTACAGTTTTACTCCAGGTTAGTCTATATGCAGGATATCTGAAAAATGTATTAAAACTTTGATAAAAATGTTTGTTGTGGTAGCACAAAGAAAATATTTGAATAAAAAGTTGTTGAAATCAAGAAATTATTTTCAAAAGCTTAATTAAAAAATATTCGATATTGACATAATGCAATAAAAACTATTTGTATTCAAAATACAATAATAGTTGCCGCTAGTCTTGTATGAAATTAATTTGTAATTAAACAATATTGAATTTTTTATTGTTTTTTTGAGAAGCAGTTGTAGTATATGTTTCTTGAATTTT